GTAATAAATTTTAACTTCAATCAGTTTAGTATACGAGAAGGAGACACAAAATTACAGAAAAAAAAAATGTTTATGCAATGCGCATCCCCTCTATCAAGAAAAAGATGTATTAATAATTGAAAATAAAATAAACATATATATAAATACATATAAAAAAGTTATAGCATGTAATATATTTAATAACATTAGTTGATAATAGCATCGAAACATGTTTATTTTTATCAACTATAAAAAGAACTAAGTTAATCATAAATTTAATAGATGGTTTTCGAAACAAAACTTAAACTATTTTAAACAGTTATTTTCACTTGGTGTTAATTATAGATTTTTACCCTTACATAAGTTATTAAACATTGACCTATTGTTTGTTTCTCAGACCCACGCTAGTGTGTAAACTTATTAAAAAATAATGAAATTGCTGTGAAATAAAATAAGAAAAGGGCAATAATTGCAAAGAATAAGTTTATTGGTAAGACAAAACTTGACTTACATAAAAATAAACTTCTAGATAAAGTTCACAGTAAGATTTAAAATATTATCAAGTCAACAACATCAAATAAATTAATGTGATTTATATTCTACAACGAACAGATCAACTTTTTAAAGTAAACTTTTAATTCTCGAAGAAATAGCTTATTAACGTTTGGCTGGATTCAGAAAAAAAAAGTTTCAATTTGCATTCGATTACTTCAAAATTGCATTGCTTATTATCTACATCTCACTAAATAAAATTCTACATCAAAGGTCATTGACATTCTGATAGACACACACACAAACGAACTGACACTCTAAGACAAGAAACGTTTTTCATTATTTTAAAAACACGTTTGCACACTTTGACACAAAACAAAACAAAAAACTCTATTCTCAAAGGATACATAAAGGAAAAGATATTTATGACTTAGTGCTCTAGCATGCGTGCTCTTTCTGTTAAAATTTCTAAACATGTTTGAATGGTCCTCAAAACAAGTAGAAGGGACGCCATGCTTGATAATTCGCTTTCAAGAATAGGTGATTTTTATTGTGTGGGCTATCTTCTGTGTCCGCCGCAGCGAATCGAACCCTGGATTTTAGAGTTGTAAGTCCGTAAACCTACCGCTATCCCACCGGAGGACAAGAATAGTTGATTGAAAATACGAATAAGAGCAGCAAAGTCAATAACAAAGTCAAATTTCGAATAGTAACCCCAAGTAAAATGAGATGTACTGAAATGAAGCACGTATTTTAAACTATTCTCGCACAGAACTGTAATGACTGAAATAGTCACTATTTCATTCTTCCATAACTAGTTTAGAATATATTTTTAATCAGATACATTCAGGCAATATTTTCTAAATTCTGAAGCAGGCGTTATTGTGAACCAAATGTCGAAAGGTTTGTTTGTTTGTTATTAAGCACAAAGCTACACAATGGGCTATCTGTACTCTGCCAACCACGGGTATCGAAACCCAGATTCTAGCGTTGTAAGTCCGCAAACATACCGCTGTGCCACTGGGGGAATTTCGAAAGGTCAGAAACATGTACTGTTAATCCTTTTACTTGGGCAAAGCTTTCATATGCCGACAGCTACAAACTCATATCACTTTGGTCCAATGTCTAACCCCTGGGGAGAGGAGAGCCTATCTCAAAGGTTGGTATACAGACTCGTGCAATTTTTAATAAACTATGTATTCCCCCCCCCCCATAAATGTCATTTGGAATAGTGCCGTATGCAACGTTGGATTCTGCTATACTGCACTTCAAAAAAAGGTTTTTGTCCGTGTTTCGGTGATAAATCAGAATTCTCGTTGTCTTTGTCATCTATTGAAGTTTATAGGAAAGCACCTAACTCCAGTAATCAAAAGCAATAGAGGAAAACTTATAAGCCGATCAGAAAATGTGAAGTCTGGCACCAATTCTGTGAATAAAAATTCAATTTAGTCTTAATTGTTCATTTGTGCCTTTTTTTCTTTTTTCACTATCTCTACTCAATTTACTATTTACGTAGCATTACCTGGATGTGTGTTTTATGGATACTTTTGAACTTATATGTCAGATATTAATGGCTTTGAATAGAGCCGAAGCTAGAATAGGACGGAAGGGGCAGTCGCCCAGGGCGCAGCCGAAGGGGGGGGTGCAGTCTGAGCGCTAAGCCTGTTATTCAATAATTTGTGTAGAATTATACAGATTGGAAATTTGCCCAGGGCGCAAAAGCGACTGGTTACGGCTCTGGCTCTGAATACCACAAATTATCGCCAGATGTACAACAATAGTATGTATTATCTGGCTACTTTTACATATACTTAATATTAACAATTTAAAACAGTTAAATACTCCATTGGATACCCGATTCTAATGGAGTAATAAATAGTTACTCTTTTCTACTCTGCATTTAGACGAGAACCTGGTATCCAGGTTATTTTTATTGTCAATTTCCCATACTTCATATTAACAAAACCTTGGCAGTTAGAATCTTTTTCAATATGTTTGATTTGGCAGCGAATAATTATACGCAATGCGTGTATATATATATATCTGAGTAATATTTTTAATTAGCTAAATATCTGAAGATACATATTCTTACAAATTAATAAAATATTTATCACATTAATTTTTTATACTCACAAATTAAATGGAAAACATAATTTAATTTGTCAGAGATAAGTTAAATTGTTTATTCAAATCATATAGAGTTTATTTACTCCTTGGGAGTAATTCCATCTCATTAAACATATAGTCCTCAACTTAAATCTCTGGGGCAAAAATTGTAACAGCAATTATTTTCTTTCTAGTATTAAAGAGATGTCTCCAGCGGCTCAGCGGTAAATCTGAAGGCTTATAACGCTAAAAACTGGGTTTCGATACCCGTGGTAGGCACAGAACAAATAACCCATTTTATAATATAGCTCTGTGCTTAACAGCAAACAAACAACCGTAAAGAGATATCTTAAAGTGACCTTTTTATTGTGATATAATAATATGGTGAACTCAAACACGCCCGCCAGTGGCACAGCGGTATGTCTGCGGATTTACAACGCTAGAATCCGGGTTTCGATACCCATGGTAGGCAGAGCACAGATAGCCCATTGCGTAGCTTTGTGCTTAATTACAAACAGACTCAAACAGAATTTAATTTATTGTAGTTAATAACATAAGATATTTTCAATGGTCGAAGAGTGTTACCTTACAAATTGTGTATATTCCTACTTACTTCCACAATGTAGACCTGGGCCTAAGTTGATTTATTCAAAATGGTCATTGAAGCGTATTTGTAATTAGCGTTTTGTACTAAATTACGAATATAGCATGCGTGGCAAAACCTAAGCCTTAGACGACTAATGAGCATTGTATTTTTATCCCCCTATTCAAGTATGAAGAAGACAGACCAATGTTCTGTCGAAACATGTAGTATGTTCCCCAAAGTAAAAACACTTCACCATGCTTACAAATTTTTGTCGATTTACTATGAATATTAAGAATTCATTGATCATTCGTAGTTGTAGGTATCATTATTTGCATTTATGTAATAACTTCTATCAGAAGAGTTGTTGAGAATCTACATTAACAAATAATAATAAATAGTATTAATTATGAGTAACAGGAAAGCTTAAATAAAAGCTTCTATGGCTACTCTGTCTTAGGTCATTAGCTGGACACCCTCACTATTAGCGGTGTTTTCTGCCCTTTACTCTAATATTAGTAGTTTCGCCAGTTTCACACTTTCCGTTTTTACTCGACGGTTTTGGTGGAAACTGCAAACAACGATATGTTGACAGAAAAAATTTTCAGACATCTCTTGATTTTAACTGAATTGTGAAAATGGACAGATTTAACATAATGTGAAATATTGTGAAAATAATCTTTATTAGATTCACAAAACAATAAAAAATATCTATGTGAATAATAATAATAATTGTTCCATAAAGAGAAAATATAGCATTATATACACACTATTTACAGCCAGAAATACCGTTAACAGCGAAGGTACCCAACTGAGAAAACAATGCTTTCTAATTCTTGTAGGTAAAAGGGTAGAAAAGTATAATTAATTAGCTGTACTCATTACTGGGTTGTTATAAATATATTTTTAGCTTGTTGGGAGCAAAAATTAAGGATAAAAAAGTACTTTCATCAAGGATGTAAAAGTCCCCTCCCGATAAAACAGATAATGTAAAAGAACTATACTTGACTTAGTTATTTTTTCAAACTCATATAAAAAATATAGTAATTTGCTAATATATATCATCCAAATATAAAATTTATTTTGTAACCATATAATTAGTTTTTATTTTAACTTGTAAAGTTTCTAAACAATACTCTATTCAGACTCAGCTGAAAATTTGGGCTTTTGAACTAATTTATATATATATATTTACCTGCTTTAGATAGCGAAATTTAACACTGATATCTTGGAAAACTCGATGCGGCTTTTCGATTCTTATGGGCTCTCATTCAAGTCTTTTATAATTGACATACTAATACAAATTAAACATTTAAATTTGATCTCTAGTCAAAATAATATAATGTTTTATTTGGTAGTGAATGTAACTGTCTAGTTACATTTGAAAAGTCTGTGAAAGCATATGTATATGCTCAATTTACGATATAATACTAATAACATATTGATAAAATCTTATTTGAAATCAAATCTTAAATGTTTATTATACGTCAATTGTACAAAACAGAGAGGGGTCGCTACGAGTTCTTCTTAACCAGAAGAATAGAAAAACATTGGTAAGTACATCGAGATTAAGCTTCAGTTAAATGAAAACAAAACAAAAAAAAATACGCTGATGTAATGTTAAAGCCAAAGTTTTGGTTACATTTAGACTCTGTAATGAACAATAACAAGATACTGTATAGGCCTAAACTTACTTGTTGTTTTCTATTCCTGCTTGAGTCTCCTGTCTGTAGTAAATATTACTAAGATGAGTAATACCAAGTAATAGTATAGACTATAGGCCCACATATTATTATTAATAAATAGTTAGGTTTAAATTTCAAGTTAATCACTTAATGTGAAAAATTTCTCCACTGACACGTTCAGTTACATTTTGATTGAATACTGCTATTGTTGGACATTTTATTTTATACTGACAAGATGTGAAGGCCAAAAGAAATTTATAATTTCCTTAATTTTCAATGAAGTGTGAAATAATACGAAGGTTAGCCTTAGTTGTAAACTGTTGAAATTGATTAGTCTTTAGATACTATATTATTATTACTAATAGTTATAGTAACACAGATAGCCCATTGTATAGCTTTGTACTTGACAATGACAATATCACAATCAAAAAAGTTATTTATGAAATTTAAAACTGGTTTAGGTTTCTTTACAAAGTTACCATAAAAATCACTAACAATTTGTCTAAGTTAAAGTAAATGTAGTTACGGTTGCTACATTCTAAAAAAAATAAAAAAGTGTAGAACATGCTTATCTGGCTACTATTCTCAAACTTTATTGTAGTGAAGTTTACACTTTTATCTCATTTGTAGGTATTCGTCATGAAAGTAATTATTAAGTTTTAAGAAATACTGACGAGTTATGATTTGTACTAAGTTTGTGCCTAGCCTGAAAATTACAATGTTATTAAAAAGGCTGAGCATTAGTATATTAACAATAGAATTATTTACCTCTGTCAAACTTTTTAACATATTTTTTAAAATTATTTGTGAATCCATGTCTGTTGGTTATGGGGCCCCTAATAACATACAAGTCACACAAAAAATTTAAAGATACTCTCAATATTACACTTAATCTCAAGATATTGCTTGAATTTGTTATTTTGGTCAGTTTTTTTTTACACCAAGTGTTTTAACAGGATGGTTAGCCTTTGAAATGGGTTGCCTTTAGATGTTGTGGATGCAGTAAATTTAAGGAAGGCTTGATAAATATTTAAATTTCAAGGACTGGATTTGAGGGTTTTTTCTTTTACTTTAGTGGATGGAGCAGCGTAGATGGACTAATAGGTCTCTTGTTAACCTTAAATATATAAATAAAATTATGCAATATGTGCCCCCCCCCCCCCAATATGTGAATAGTATAGAAAAAATTTTTATAACTGTCAAAAACTAATCTATGAAAAACCATGCTTTTATACCTGTGATGCCAGATTTGGTGTTGCAACATGCATGTTTGATAGAAATTAGTTGTGTTTTATGTAGTGAGCAAAACATTTGTTTGTAGTTTTATAAATAAAAGGCCTAGGAATAAGAAAATCTGTAGCCTCATAAGCCACTGAAAGTTGAAGTTTTAGCAGTTTTGTTTTCAGTGTGTGAGAATTTTTCACAGTTTCTGGAGTTTTGAAATTTTGTGAAAATAGCTAGGCCCTCTTAGTATAGAATTTATTATTATATTATATATTAGAGGTTGTCCAGCAACAAAGTGATTAGCTGTTTTGTTATTGTTGACATTTCATGATTAGTTAACTTAAACACACAGGTTTAAAGAAAATTGTTTGGGTTGGTATTATTGATATGCAGACATTGTTCAGGTGTGTAGAATTTTTGAAAAAATGTGTTGTTCAAAGGAGAAAAGACTAGAAAAATCTACTTGCTCTCTACAACATCCCAGAAAACACACAATTAAAGTATAACCTAAGATTTTGGTTTTATACAACAGTGAACACAAATGACACAATTCCATTGGCAGCTTAATCTTGTTATGAATGGAGTATACTATGTTTTGCATCTAAGCTCTAAATATACGTTTGTTCATGTATTATATTTTTTATAAGATAGTCATTGGGATTTTACAGTGCAGCATGGAGAATACCCCATGCAGGAACTTGGCTTATAAATTAAAAAAGTGTATATATATATATATATATAA